GCTGAACAAACACGCATTGAAGCTGACGCCGGCTTCCCCATTTTCAGAGCGATTTCCCATTTTTCCTTTCACCCCCTATTTTTGGGAAAACGTATGCCCCCCAAATCGCTTCACAAAGTATTGAACACTGGGGAACACAACAGTACGCGGTAATTCGCCGCTTTTTATCAGGGGGAGGAGTATTTTTGACGTAAGAATGCTCCATGGCTTGCAGTTACGGCTAATCGGCCTACGCCCGCTCCACGCTGTCTCACATAGGCTAGTTCGCGGTCCCGCCACCAGGTTAGCGCGCACTGTTAAAAAAAATTACTGAAAATTCATAATTTTTTGTAAGAAGTCGATTTACTTACATTCAGTCTGAATTTTCATACCAAAATTTTCATACTTCGAGGTCTTAAATTTTCAGACGACGTTAGTCTGAATTTTCAGATCAATTTGTTGTATGAAAAATGATACCAGTCGGTCCGTTTTATCAGACTAAATTGTACGAAGAACATAAACAGTCGCACCAATAAATGCCTCTTATATAGTGGAGCCCAAATCGGCTAACTTTTGCCGTTAGTTTGTAGTAGACGCTCTGCGGATCGTCTCGAGGCAAAAATTAGGTAGACGGTATCAGCCATCTCCTCCCCGAGGTAGTGGAGAGTCTAATGGAGACTGCTGAAGTCCGAGGGTGAGCGGCCTTAGCCCAACCACGCGTCGACCCGTGGCCATGCGCGAGAGGGAAATTGTATTCTCTGTTATTTAGCTTATATTGCACATATTAACATCAATCTTGCTTTGGTGCGCTCATGCCCTTTCAGACAATCATTGGAATAAGTTTGTAACAAAATATTCACCCACTTTCGCCTTCAAGAGGCAATTTTAGCTCCGAAAGATCAACCATGCGACACTAGCGCCACCTAGCGGATAGAGCAATAAGTATCCATTTCGGAGCTCTGAAACATTCTGTTTGCTCTTACGACACTAAACGTAAATATTATTTGAAATACAACAGTAGTATTGATAAAATTTTTGAGAAAGCCGAAAAATGTAGAAAGTGGACGGCGTTTTTTCACCAGTTTTCCGACTTCACAAGTATGACTTTAGTTTTCGGACGACAATGTACAAAACTTGATAGCCATTGCTTTAAATATTCAGACTTGCTAGTCTAAATTCAAATTTCAGACAACAGGTAACACTTTTTAGACCTTTAGTCTTAATATTCGTACCATTTTATGAATTTACGATTCAGACCACCAAGTAAGACGAAATAAGTCTGAATTTTCATATTTTTTTTAACAGTGCGAGTAATCTTGGCGTCGCCAATTGTAAATCTTTTATTAGCCACAAAACGATATTTGTGATTGGCTGAGCGATAGCGAAGCCCGTTACTCCAGTGGGGTTAAAAAAAATTCATGTCTGTGTGCGTGTGTTTCTGTGCGCACTACTACTCCTGAACGGCTCGGCCGATCTGGCTGATATTTTGCAGGCTCATTAGGTATGTTCTTGGCTCGGCACACGCGAAATTTCACTATCCTAGCTCAACTGGTTCAGTTTTTACAGCCGAAAAACACCTAAAAAATGGCGAAAAATCGAGTTTTCTGCAGGTAGATCTCTCCTGTCTTGATGAACGGGGGGTCTGGGGGGCGGAAGTTGAAAAGTTACGAGGGTCAAGATCGTGTAATTTGTAGATGAAACAACTCTTAGATAGAGTGAAGGGGGGTCTTGGGGGCGGAGACCCCAGCGTGCAACAATTAAGAAGTAACTGATGATGGACAAGCATTGCCTGCCGAAGGCAGGCTAGCACCGCAGGCCAAGGTAGGTACGCCAGGCGCGGATTGGAGAAACAGGCCGCGAGATATCGCGAAGCCTGTTACGACAAGACGCGGTCTGGCGCAAACCTACCTTGTAATTTTAGCAAACATTTTGTAGACAAATGAAACCGTTGTGAAATTGACAAAATACGCCGCCGAGATTGCCAAAGCCAGCTGGTCATCGAGCTCCAAATGCCCTTGCAGAGCTGTGGCATGTGGCAGCTAGGATGCCGGCGGGCGAGAAAGTCCTGGTTAAGAGTCTCCGGCGAACATTTTTTCTCAGCACTATTTGCTGCATGCTAGGGTGCATGTAACTTACAATCATCACAAATATAACGGAATGTTTTGTAGATTTACAAAGTATTTTGTTAATTGATGTTTACGATGAATTTTAGGACTTTACGGCATATCACTGTTATTTGACTTGCGATACAGACCGCACTTTCTGCGCAATACAAATTTCACAGCACTTTTCTGTGATGATCATTGCTACAAGGTGTGATGAGCTACAGTATCGCAGAATTTTGTAATGATCATTGCATAAACTGCAATGATAACAGATTTTGTGTTGTCATCATCGCAGTTTTTTGCAATAATTTCGATCCTCATTGCAGAAAGTTGCGATGATCATTGCAGAATTTTGTGCGGTACAGAAGTCACTGCATCTCAGGAGCAATGATTCGTGGGAATCACATTTCGGATATCATCGCACGTTTTAGTGTTGAAAGTATCGCAACTTGGATAACAGTGATTTCATTAAGTACGTTTTACAAAGCTCTCGTTTATAAAAATTTCCAGTGAAATCTTTGTAAATTTACGAAAAATTTTCGAACAGTGTGCTCTGGACCTCTCCCCAAACCAAACTTTTAACTTTCCATGACATACACCATCAAAGTGGAGTCCCTGGGAAATAATTGCTTGGGTCGCGGAAATCTAAGATGCTCTACACAGTGTCAAAGCGGGCTAGAGCATTAAAAATGGCGTGTACCAATTACCGGTAACTTTCGTGGCACCCTAAAGAATGTTGCAGCAGCACAAGGTGAAAATAATTTTCGCTTAAATGTCGGGCTTGTGGAGTATCATTTGACCCTGTGACGACTTGTAAGCTACAGCCAGCCCGAGTTAGCCGTTTAAGCTGATTTTCACACTTTGTAACTTCCGTGTTCACGTAATTTCCGTGATCAAAACACCCGCTAAAACGTATGGGAATACCTTGGGGCTCATGTTTTTAGGAAGGTAGCACAAGGTCTATACTACAAGGTAGGTGTACGCCAGGCATGGATTGTCGTAACAGGCTTCGCGATGCTGCGCCAGTTTCGACAATCCATGCCTGGCGTGGCGTATACACCTACCTTGGCCTGCGGCGCTCTAGCCTGCCTTCGGCAGGCTCCTTTCCTTGACAAACCGTAGAAATGGGCGTGATCGCCACCAAAATAGGCATTTGGTGAACAAAATCTTCACTACTGGGAGTTAACTTTAGGTTGGGGGTCAGAATGGGTTCTAATTTCGTCCTCAGCACCCTCCATAACATAGGAAACCACATTAAACTTCACAAAAAGTTGAAAGTACCTAAAAAGTTGTCTTTTTTCTGCCGTTTTAAAGGGGTCATTTGCCAGATTGACTGAAGGGATTAAGACTGAAAGCTGAATTTTGATGTGAGGCGAGCCAAGAACATACCCAATGAGCCTGCAAAATCTCAGCCAGATCAGCCGAGCCGTTCAGGAGGAGTAGTGTGCACACACACGCACGCACACACATACACGCAGACAGGAATAGTTTTTTGATCCCACCCGAGTAACGGGCTTCGCTATCGCTCAGCCAAAAAAACTCCAACTTTGACGCCTTACAGCTTCTAAACGGTTTGAGCTACGAATCTGGGCGTGTGCTCATTGGCTTTATTAGCTCTTTTTCTACAAGATGGCGTCAACGGATCGTGGATAAAATATATTTTTGACCGTTTCCCCAAGATTTGGGTATTTCAGTAAAATTTGGTCATTTTGGGTAAGTATTTCTCAAGATATCGGTCGTAGGTCAAATCTGTGACCATATTCTTGTTCCTTGGGCAATTTTACAAAAGGATGCTAATTTTCAGCCACTTAGCACCAAAAACCTCAGAGTAGTAAAGAAACTCCCAAATTAAGTAGAAAAAGTGGCAAATTTAGAAAACATTGGTTTTCTCGGCCAATAAATTTTTTAGCGACCTAATATTTTAGGATGTTTTTTCTTACCATAAGGACATCTCAGAAAAAAATTTTGGTCAAAATCGGAGAGGGTCATGGGAAGGCGTTGCACGTATTAAATAAATTTAGCTCTCTGCCAAATACAGTGAAGTTAGACACTTAAGGGGAGGTTCTGGTGAAAATCTTGCCATTTTCCAAATGGATCCTACAGTCATAATTTGTTCGGAATATAAAATTTTTTATTGGGGAGACTAAAATTTGACTTTTGAAGGCACATGCCAGGCTGTAAACCCAGTCGAAGAGTCTTTTTGAGCCTATTTTGGCTGTATCTTAAAAAATCTCCTTGCGCATACTATTTTGTCGTAAAAGGTTGACCTTGACATTTTTCACTTCTTCGACTCATTTTCAAAAGATTCCGGCATGCATAGCTCAAAACTTCCATTATATTAATAATTATTAGCTTTTTAAGCTGGAAAGTCCCTAAAATTTGTCTATTTTGTACATTTTTGATCAATTTTAGTGAAATGCTTGGTTAGAAAGCTTGCGAATAAAAATGCAATTGACATTTTGAGATGGGCATGCCGGCATTTTTAAAAAATGAATCGAAGAAGTGAAAAATGTCTAAGCCAACCTTTTACGACAAAATAGTATGCGCAAGAAGATTTTTAAAGTTATAGCCTAAATGGGAGAAAAAGGCTCTGCGACTGGATTCAGGGCATAGAATGTGCCTCCCCAATGAAAAATTTTAATAAATACTTGATAAGACATTAAATTTTTAACAAATTTTCACAGTGGGACCTATTTAGGAGAAAATAGCATTTTCACCAGAACCTCCCCTTAAGAAATTTGAAAGCAGCCTAAAATACTTCTAAAGTGGAAGTGCTTGCCTTTTCTCGAGATGCAGGTCACCCAGTGAAGAGCCCCCGTGTACAGGAACTGGTCATAAGATTCTTGCCCCCTGGCTGGAGGGTACCACGTCAGAGGGTCCTTCAGTTCCATGGTTGTTGAAGCTGGAGGTCTAAGGCCCTGAACATAAGGGTATTGGTGCCGCAGCAAACGATTAACAGCTTCGAAGTGGGCATCAGTGAACATGTCATTTGTCTTTAGAATTGGGAAGGCCTCAGGACGTAAAGAAGTTACTGTAAAAACAAATAAGCAACAATGAACCCTCGATGCCTTATTACTATGCCTTAATACATGATTTTACAGGGAAAACAAACCTTGTGACATGGTGCACGACTGGAAGAATGTACCAGGACAGCATGTCATGTGGTACAGTCAGGAACAGTTCAGACATTTTTTAAGGTTCCCTTGAATGTGAAGCCCACACGTCTTGCAAGTGCATAAGTGTGGCCATTTTGCAATGTCCTTGCATTTGGGGCACAAACATGCCCTGCATATTCTTTCAGATTCAGTTGGGACCGAGCTCACAGTAAAGAGGCGAGGGTCCAGGAAGGAGCACCTATCTGTACCATGTACAGGTTTATTGCACACCCTACATCGGATCCCTGAACTTAATGTGGCGTCACAGCATCCGCACCAAGAGCACTTCTCTGCAGGTTCAGGCAGAGCATTAGGGTTTGCGTTACTTCCTACACAAGGTAGGTTAACGCCAGACCGCGTCTTGTCGTGACAGGCTTCGCGATGTCTCGCTGCCCGTTCCTCCAATCCACGACTGGCGTACCTACCTTGGCCTGCGGCGCTAGCCTGCCTTCTGCAGGCATTAGCTTGCCCATCGTCGGTTACTTCGCATGTCCCCCCCCTTAATTCCAGATAGAGTTCCTTCATCTACAGATAACACGATCTTGACCCTTGTAACTTTTTAACTTGTCGAGGCGGGCTCCGCCCCCCAGATCCCCCTTTCTTCAAGACAGAAGTGATCTGCCTGCAGAAAACACGATTTTTCGCTGTTTTTTAGGTGTTTTTCGGCAATAAAAATTGAACCACGTAAGCTAGGATAGTGAAATTTCGCGTGTGCCGAGCCAAGAACATACCTAACGACCCTGCAAAACCTCAGCCAGATCGGCCGAGCCGTACAGGAGGGTGCGCGCGCACACACACGCGCGCACACATCAGACAGAAAAAGTTTTTTTAACCCCACTGGAGTAACGGGCTTCGCTATCGCTCAGTCAAAAAAAAAAAAAAACTTAATTGGATATTGGATATTTCTCACTTTCGGCAAATCAGAGACGTCCAAACGTCCCGAAACGTGAGAATCGCTCTAATGCGAAACGTCAACGCGGCGCGGATAGTTGCAGCTGCTCGCATTAGCAAAATTTCTTAGCCATTTTGGCTGATCGAAAATTTTTTCTGTGGTTGAGCAAAATATGGCAAAATAAACGAGGAAACCGACTACAAACGAGACTGACTTACCACCAAATAACGCACAGTGTTTTTTTTTAGAGGTTATCTAGGCTCACAACAGGCCGGCACCGGCCGGGGCGGTGGTGTGGGGCCGGGCCTCGCTACCGCACGTGCCGTGTTGCTACCCCCAGATTATACGAATCATTTCTTCGATTTTACAATGCCTTCATTCTCTTCGTGTTGCGATGCGATTCTTCTCAGACTTTTTACTGAGCATATTAAAAGATGTAGCTCAATATCGACGATCGGATTCAGGTGTCTAAGTGAATCATAAAGTGTGCGGCAAGGATCAGAGGACAGTAAATACATTGTATTAGAGTGCTGTTATCAAGCACGAAAGATTGTCCGAGGACGGACTGCTCGGCCGCTGACAAAGCGTGCGTGCTGTACTCCACGAAATCAAACTTATACCTCCACAAAACCAATTGGCGTCCGTTAAGACGAAGGGAACCCGTACAGGATATTGTCTTTCTACTACACTAGGAAAATTTCAGTCGTCACTTGATGACAATTTCAAGGCTAATTTTCCTTACTAGGGTGTCATCAAAACAGTTGATGACACTGTTGTCACGCCCATGCAATAAGTATCATCCATTAGTGATGAGATTGTCATTAGTTGAAAGTGATGAAAATATCATCCACGATTTTGTCATAAAGTGACAACAAATTTTAACAGTGTAGGTGCGGGTGGGCTTTCGAGGAGGAGGAGGGGATTGTTTAGTACAGGCGCAAGGACGACCACCTTCGCCTGGGTCGGAGGCTTTTAAAGGCACATAGTAGCCCTCTAGTATCCCACGGGTGGCTTTTTACTCCTCCAATGTTGACACTCACACAGTTCTGAAATTTTCTACAGCATTTTCATAAGATTTGACTGGTTAGTGGAACTTCGTATACAGTGATTTCAGTGCTGAAGTTTGGGTGAAAAGTGCTGGACCAATTTTGAGACATTTGGATGCGAAATTGCTGTTACTGAGGCAAAGCTCGACTCGTTAGCGAAAAACACAAGGAAGGAGAAGGGGGGGCCCAGCCGAGACCTTGACCAGTAGCAGCGCTCCTTTTGACTTATGTACCTATTACTCCGAAAGAGGCGGCTGCCCTGAAAAAGGGCAGGGTCGGCATGAGCCCCATCCCGATTGAGCCCCGATGACCTGAGCACACTCTGAGAAAAAATGACGGTAAATCCTCGATATTTTTTTTGCCAAACTTTACCGTACTTCAAAAACCAGTATCCACCGTACAGTCTACAGTATTTACCGTACTTGTTTTACAAAATATTTCGTAGTCTTTTAACAGTAGTTACCGTTCTTCCGTACAGCCCATGCCGTAGGAAGGACCAGATCTGGTCCCAACAAAGGCCGCTTCTAAGAATTGTCCACATCAGGATCTTGAAAAAAGGGGGTCGACCGACTGAAAAATTTTATTGCACCTTTCGATAGGTCTCGTCAAGACCTTTCCAACGAGTGGTCGGAAGGGGAGTCCAGGAGTCCGACTTCAGCAGTTGCGTCCACCAGGAACTTGAAAAAAGGGGGTCAACCGGCTAAACAAAATTATAGCAGTCTTTGATAGGTATTAAAAGTACGGGATCGCCGGGGTAAAAAGTACGGGATTCCCTGTAAAAAAGTACGGTATTGCCTGTAAAAAAACGACGGTATTGCCTGAAAAAAGTACGGTGAAGTCTGGAGTAATCAGTACAGGATTTACCGTGATCTTTTCTCGCAGTGCACCGGCCAGAACCCCGACCTGAGTCTGGTTTGAGCCCCGTGCAATTAAATGGATGGTCTCTTTTGGTTTGATCCTTGATTCTGGGCTTATCACAAGGTAGGTGTAAGGGAGGGTGGGGCGAATCCGGACGGTTTTTTTCTTTTCCCCCTAGACGCTAGTTAACTCAACATTTTTCACATTCGTGGGTACCGACGGAAAGATGGGGCTTTCCCCCTTTTTAAATGACCCCCAGGGAGGCAAAATTGAGTGAAGAATGTGGCCTCCACAGGCTCCGGGGCGAATCCGGAAAACCTATGGGCGATTCCGGACGACCTGAAGTTTCCATCCATGTGATAAAAGTTATCACTGATTTTAAAAATGAGAGTGCAATCTGGGTAAAGTGTTGAAAAGAAAGGTAAAAAAAAAAAAAATGACCAATTTGAGAATAAATTATTTGTTTTTGATTTTTTTACAAAATTTAAAATCACATTCTAAAATTTATGATGTTTGAAGCATAAAAAGGAACAAAATTAACCAGCGAACATTTTAAAAACTAGCAAAAAGAAATTGCTGAAGTAAAAATTTAAAATGTTAAAAAGACTGTTGACGTTTTTTGGGTTTTTACCAGGACACTGGGGTTTTGGAAAAATGGCACATATATCACTAAGGTGAACTGAGTTGAGGTCAGGAATAAGGAAATACAAAGTTTGGTAGATTTGACTTAACTACTTTTCTCAAATACGATACTCTAAACGTTATCCTTCTTTTCTTTAATTTTTTCCTCACAATGTTTCAACTCTTTGCCAACCTTGAAGTTAAAAAAACGTATCACCCTCAGTAGGAATTGGCATGTCTGGAGGCGCTGGGCTTTGAGCAGGCTTCGCCATTTCCACTGGAAACAATTGCCTCTTCATCAGATAGTTCAAAATCAAGTATTTGGGTGTTTTTTTTTCTTCTTTTTGTTTTTTTTCTTCTTATCTTTCCCTTTTTCATTGGATTTGTCTCTTTTGGGTTTTTTCTTTCTTTTTCCCTTTTCCCCACCGTCTTTTTTTCCTTTTTTTTTTTTCTGTTTACTTCTTTTTCTGGGTGTCATCACCTACCCCCTTTCCCGGGTTTTTTTGGGGTTTTGGGGGGTTGGTGGGGAACCCTGATACTTCTGGGCCAAAAAATCTCAGTTTTTTCGGGCACTTTATCTTCAATAGCTTTAGCTTTTTAGTGATGACTTCAGGGTGACTCTTCAGGGCCTGAAGGGGGTGGCTGCGGTCATTTGGCCATGATAAAATCATCCCTGAAAGAGTGGAACGGAGAAATTTTTTCCAAAGCTAGGATAATGGTGTTGGGCATTGTGCCTTGCTGAGGGCGTCACGCACAAAACCTGCTACATGATAAATTGTTACAGAAATTGCAGGGTTGCTAAGCATAAATGAGCTAAATTTCATTATCATAGTATTTTTTAAAGGCCCAAAAAGCCTACATCTAAAGGCTGTAACTTGTGTGTACTGCGGTGGGAAAGTAAACACTACAACTCCATTATCTTTGGCTAAATCTAACACTGCAGTTGAAAAATGGGTATCCACATTTTCAAGGAGAAGCAGTGTGGGATTTTCTTTGGAAGACCTAGTACATTTTTTAAAATGTTTTATTTATCTACAAAAGTTTTTTTGGTATTGTAACCTTTGTCATTAGCTAAACTAAGGTCCCTGGATATGCGAATTAACATATTACTCTTAAATATCTTTTAGGAAAAAACATCACAGGAGGGGGAACTACTCCATGAGCCCTATAATTGGCTGAGCGATAGCGAAGCCTTGCCGTGTTCGGGGGCACCAAAAAATGACTGGTCGTGAGTCTGTCTGTCCGTCTCTCTGTCTGTCTGTATGTAATCACTCACGTTTCAGCAACTACTGCACTAATAGAAACCAAATTTCACATCAAAAATCTCCCAAATCTCCCACAGGGGGAGTTTATCTCAGATTAACAATTATCATCGTTTGAAAAATTCAAAACATCATTTTGAACTAGGTAATTCGTGTTTAGGTTGGTAGCAGCGTGTGGCTGACCAATTTCTCATACCGGCTGCCGCGCTTGAAACCGTCTGCAAGACGGGACGGCACTTATGCAAACAAACAAACTAATGAGCAAAGGGGTTCTCAAATAGGTACTGAGATAGTTTTTTAAGGTTATGTAAGGTGAAAAAACTATCTTCTAAAGTATAGGTGGCAGTGCTTTGGTTTTGGTGTTTTAGTTGCTTACAATGAAAAATTTTACACCACAGACTGGACTCCCAACTCCCATTAGTTCCAAAGTTATGAGGGTTTTAGTGTTATTTTAGTCGTTTACTAAAAATTCTCCTTGCGATAAACCCAAAAAAGTTTACGGAGGTGTGATTTTTATTTTAAGGCCCAATGGACATGCAAACAGACTAGCAAAGGGATTTCAAAATATTGCATAGATAAGCTGTAATTTCTGTTTGGAAAATGCGTTTTAAATTTTTTTACTGAAATTTGGTAAAATTTTTTTTTTTTTTGGTTTTTTTTTTTGTGTTTTTGAAAAAAATTCCTTTTTCATGTTGGTTTTTGGAAATCCGGCTTTGCTACGAGGTAGGCAAATTAATAAAGAACTTTTAAAACAAAAATCAAGT